TTTTAAGTTTGTTTCTCATACAGCACATTGCTGGGTCTCTCGATAAGAAAAAGGGCAGCACATATCCTGTTACCTCGCCTCAGTTTATCTATTCTGGTATAGCTGTCACTGATGACAAAGCGTCATCATTTGGGCTTTAGCTGTTTGTTATTTGTAAGAAATAAACTGATCGTGTTTCTCCCACAGTCTAACTTTTATTAGACAAAACAGGATTGTGGGTTCTATTATGGTGAATTTACCATCTAGACCAGGGGTTCCCAATTAATTTTTCCCGTGGAACCCTTTGACATAGTATACCAACATCATCGAACCCCCGGAAAAAAATAGCACCGTAGCACAAACCTTTTAATAAGTGGCTTTTTTTTAAAAATCATTTTCAAATATTTTGCTCCGTTTAGTTTAGTCTTATGATACTCCTGAAGCTTTTGCTTAAAAAAGACAATGTCTTTATCTTTGTACTCTGGGTGGTTTTGCTCAAAATGACGACGTAATTTAGCAGGTGCTAACAAACTGTTTTGCAATATTTTCTTGCAAACTAAGCATTGTGCTTGAGGAATATTTTTATTTCTGGCACTTGTGAATCCAAATTTTAAGTAGCTGTCGTTATATTTTCTTTTCTTTGTTTGAGAAGAAGATTGGGTAGCATTGTGTGCTTTTCTGTTTTTCTTTGACTTGTCACTTGTCTCTGCTATTAGAGGAACAGTAGATTCAACTATGTTGGACTTGTCTTGATTTCATGCTGTATCGTCTTTCTCAGTTTCTAAAATTGTCGAAGAATTAGAAGTAGTAATATTTTTTCTCTTAATAGTTCCTTGTTTTAACCAGTTGTCCAAATTTATGGTTGTTGGTTGGTAAAAAACCCAAACACTTCTCTAACCTGAAAAAATACAGATCTCACCACATGACTGCAATGGATGCATTTTTTTTAATAATGCTCTTAGAAAGAACTTAATGTAAGAAGGATTTTGAATCAGTCTTGGAGCAAAAAGATTAGAACACTTTTAAACAGATCTCACTACCTGACTGCAAAGGATGCTTTTTTTTTTTTTTTTAAAAGCTCTTAGAAAGAAATGAACATAAGCAGGATTTTTGCTCAATCTTGGAATAAAGAGAACACTTAACTACAGATTTCACCAAAGGACGCTGTCTTGTTAACAGCTCTTAGAATGAAAATGTTTTGGTATATCACAGATTTCTACAGATAGCACGCGGAAAAAAAAATACACACACATATATATATATATATAAAATTATATTTAAATAAAATTATATATAAATAAGTAAAAATAAGTAAAAATATTTTAAAATTGACAAAATTATGTGGATACTCTCATTTCACTCTTGCAATTATTTGGTAGTTATAAGAAGTTGCAGCTATTCCCATAAACACTATATGTCACTATGCAAGCAATCCTCACTTCAACCAAAAGTCATACCCCTGCTCTTGTGAGAACAATAAGGAACTACATGGAGCATTAATCAAAATAAATTAGATATTGCAATTGGATCAAAATGCCAAGTCAGTGTAAAGCAGCTTAACACTAGGGGAGAGAGGAATGGGAGAATACTGAATGAGAGAGGAGTAAAAGAATACAGGGAGGAAAGAGGAGTAAAGGAATACTGGGAGGAGAGAGGAGTAAAATAATACAGGGAGGAAAGAGGAGTAAAGGAATACTGGGAGGAGAGAGGAGTAAAATAATACAGGGAGGAAAGAGGAGTAAAGGAATACTGGGAGGAGAGAGGAGTAAAAGAATACAGGGAGGAAAGAGGAGTAAAGGAATACTGGGAGGAGAGAGGAGTAAAAGAATACAGGGAGGAAAGAGGAGTAAAGGAATACTGGGAGGAGAGAGGAGTAAAAGAATACAGGGAGGAAAGAGGAGTAAAGGGATACTGGGAGGAGAGAGGAGTAAAATAATACAGGGAGGAAAGAGGAGTAAAGGGATACTGGGAGGAGAGAGGAGTAAAAAAATACAGGGAGGAAAGAGGAGTAAAGGAACACTGGGAGGAGAGAGGAGTAAAAGAATACAGGGAGGAAAGAGGAGTAAAGGAACACTGGGAGGAGAGAGGAGTAAAATAATACAGGGAGGAAAGAGGAGTAAAGGAATACTGGGAGGAGAGAGGAGTAAAATAATACAGGGAGGAAAGAGGAGTAAAGGAATACTGGGAGGAGAGAGGAGTAAAATAATACAGGGAGGAAAGAGGAGTAAAGGAATACTGGGAGGAGAGAGGAGTAAAAGAATACAGGGAGGAAAGAGGAGTAAAGGAATACTGGGAGGAGAGAGGAGTAAAATAATACAGGGAGGAAAGAGGAGTAAAGGAATACTGG